GGGGGTCAAAAAATCCTTAAAAACTCGCTCGCATGATTAATGGATGTCGTCTCCTAAACTGATTATTTTTTGTTTCGATCTTTTTAAAACACATTAAATCTAAATAATTTAAAATAGTGATGATGGTGTCAAATAGTATCTGATTCAGATATTTTCCAATAAAAACTAGAAGTTTTATATGGTTATATGCTTTTTGAAAGATGACAAGAAGTCATCGATCAAAATGGGAAATACATTATACAGGGTGCCCCATACCCAGGCCTTGACGTCAGACTGAATCTCTTGTTATGAGCTTTAAGTGCCTAGAGCTTTGGTGAATTTATCATCATTTTTCGGCTGTTATGGTTAATTTTTACTAATTTTCTTCATTCAAACTTTAGAACCGTTACCATGAATAACATTTCTAGGACCACAATCAAAAACATTAATACAATCTGTTCGCGCCAAATCAAAGCGTGCTATATAATGATATAAACAAAATAAGAATCAATACAAAATTATCATAAAAAGTCAATCAATACGATATTTAAAAACATTGAAATTATTGTAAATACAATTATAATTTGTAATTAATATAAAACAAACACATAAAATTATAATTAAAGTGTTCTACAACAAATTAGTCCTTCAAAATTCAATCAATCAAACATCAAAAAAACCGCAGGTTTTCGAGTATTAAGACTTTTTGTTGAACTCTATAAATTTAAATTTTTTAAATTTTTTAAAATTGCTCGACATTAAGATTTTTTTTTAAAAAAAATAATTGCACTAAATTCTGTTGACAATACTATCACCCCGTTTCGGCTAGACGTCAAGGTCTGGAACACCCTGTATAAAAAAATGTTTAGTTCCATGCAGTTTTTTCTCTGATTTTCTAACGCTCTTACTGCGTTTCTAACCTGATGTTCAAAATTGGAGTAGGTATAATAGTCCAGTCATTATAGTAAGTTCGTCTTGGAATTCGAGATACTCAGCTGTAAGTCTGTAAATACTTGTATATTGACACCTAAAGTTGTCTCAAAATCTACATATGGTAGGGTGTCAATACCATATGTAGGTTTTGAGACAACTTTAAGGGTGTCAATATAACAAGTATTTACAGACTTACAGCTCGAATTACGAGTTATCTTACCTATTTTAAGCTCAATTGACTGGACTATAAAATATTTAGATCAAGTTGTTCATAAATTTTATTTACACGGCCAGTCATATTTAAACGGACATTAAGAACAGTCTTTCCTAATGTATGAATCATATCGATCTCCGAACGCTCTATTCCCAGCTTATGCAATTTCAATTACTGCGCCTTGTCAATCGATCGAATGCATTGGCTTCACCATTACATAGGTGAGCCGTGCGATTGATTTTGTAAGATGCTATTTGACGTTCTGCTTATTTCTTAAGGCTCATTAATACGTAATGCCAGGTGAGTTTCGTTTACTCGACAGGTGTGTGTTGGTGGAAGAATTAATAGATCGTTTGTGAAGAGATCTTTTTCCAATGGGTAGTTGATGATATTGATGCCTAAGACAATACGTTGGCGTATGGTAATTTTAATTTTGGTCACGGTATGATCAACAATATTATTTATAATCTTACAGTACAAATAAGAAGATAATGCAATGATGTATCCATGATCTTAACTAATGCCATCTCACTTCATTGAAAAGAACAGTAATAGTCATTATTCGAAAATTTTGTTAAATATTCTAATAAATAGCTTAATTAACTGGAATATAATAATATTTCAGCAATATAAGAAGATTCAAGAATATTGTATTTCAATCTCAAGCAAAACCGCCTGGAAATCTTGTTGTTAGTGTAACTCAAAGTTTACTGTTTGTTGGAGATGAAATTTAGTAAACCAACTGTTCAATTCAATATAGGATAACAAATATCTGGTTTGATACTTAAAAGATATAATCCTTGATTTCAAGCGAGTTTAATCACTCCGATGACATAAATTTTATTTCAAACCATACTTTAACCCTGTATTACTATTATGGTGTCTAAAATAATTGAAAAGCTTAAGACACACTGTTAAGTAATCGCAAGTTATAGTAATCGCAAAAAAATCGAAAATAATTTTTTTATATATCTTTTCGTTTCAGAGGTTTCTGAACATTTTGGCATACCTTAAAAAAATACATGTATGTGTGTGTGTGCGCGTGTATGTGTATGTGTGCGGATACAAATTTTCATCGACGATTTCGGGAACACGGAAAAAGCGATTTGAATAATTCAAAAAACATTCGATTCGTATTGATAAGGAGACGTGCTGATTAGTTTTTGGTGAAGGCAGGTCTAGCCGTTCCAATGATATGGGGCAAAAAGTGCCAAAAACGGTAACTCAGTTTTTAAGAGAACGGAGCGTCTGATTTGAATAAGTCAAAAAACATTTCACTTGTAATGGCATTTCACTTGTAAGGTGAAGAATTGATCAAATTTTTATGAAGGCAGGTCTAGCGGTTTCGGAGATCTAACGAAAAAAGTAAAAAAAAATGCCATTTGGCGGTCAAAAATGAGCATTAGACATATGCACATCAAATTATCAGATATTTTATAGAGGTTTTAACAATAAGTATAAATTTTGTTTACATTCCTATGGGTTCCGTACCAATGTTTACGCGTTAGATGGCGACGCGGCGCTTACGCGCTTCGATATTTCGTCTTTATGCAGTTAAAGCAGTACGATTACTTTGAAAAAAAGTTCAGAATTTCCAAAATATTTCAAAATAAATGATGTAAGATAGAATGATTTAATATGGTTCGAAATTTTATTAAAAGTTTCAAATCATTGATCAACTTTTATTGATTATTATTGATTATTTTTAATTACTCGAATTTTGAATTGCGGTACGGGAAGTTCCAGCAATTTGCCTTAAGGCACGGTGCCTTAATTGCCTTAAGACAGAATTCCTCTTACAGCTAGTTTCGTTTAAAATTACTCAAGTTATTAATTTTGTTTGTAATTATGGCCGTGCCCAAATATTTAATATCTCTAAGTGTGCTATATTTGTACCAAATGCTTTTAGTTTATTTGATCGCACCTCAATTCCTAAATCGCGCTATTAACACAAACTAGTTCTGTATTATATCGGAAGAACATTATCTGGCTATACCCTAGTTTAGTTTTTATCAATGCCGATGCATACAATGCGATAATAAATGGGTTCTTATTGGTATAAATGACCTCATTCGGTTGAGTGGATTGGATCTAATCAAACTTTCGCATAGATCAATATATTGCAAATACGAATAAATAATCGAACCGTACTAGGCAGTCTGGTAATTTGACTTCCGCGTTTTTTATAATCTGTGGATAAAAATAGTAATTTGTTTTGGTTGTATTAATTTCCTAGTAGATTAATCTTGTAGAGTTTTTCTGCATTTTATTTTTAGTATCAAATGGTTGTTTTATCTACTCTAACAGTGATGATGTACTTTTAACATCCCTTGATAATCGCATAATATCAAAAATGAAAATTGTTGCTTATCTTTGTTTCAAAGGTTTCTGAACATTTTGGCATACCATAGAAAAAGCGAATATATATGTATGTGTGTGTGTAGGGATACAACTTTTTGTCGACTTTTTTCCGATTAGCTGTAATGAATTATGGAAAAATTATTCGATTCCTATTGATGGAGAAACGTGCTGATTAGTTTTTTTTTTACAAAAGTTGGTCCAGCCGTTTCGAAGATACGGGGTAGAA